TATTTAAAGATTGAATGAAGTATTCCAGTATCGTGTGCAGGACTAATATATTTTTGAATTTGACCCGATCTCTTTGCCAAATCAGGGTTGTCGTTAACGAAGGCAGTCAACGTTTTTTCGGGTCTTCTTTTATTGAAACTTGTCAGCATTAATCGTGTGTTGTAAAAGTCCTCAATCGCATTAATAGCCTCTGCACGTGCCGCAAACGAGCGGCGACACTGGAATCTTCTCGTTGAATTGTTCGAAGCTTGGACTTAGCGGAGCTGACCGTTGCCTGGAGATAAACTGCTTACATAATGCTCATTGTCCACTCCACATTCTGGAGGCTTGTAGTACCCAGAATTAGCCGAGACCTCGAGTGCTCTTTAGATAAGATGTCTCTAACATAGTATTGTTACATTTAATTATTAAATATCTTTTTGATATCTTGATTTTATTGTATACAATAATAAATACAATGGCTTGTTTTCTTTCGAGTAGTTATTACTAGAAATTTAGAAACAATTCCTCGGTATAAATAAAACAATATTCTTTTGACTATTGAACTGCATAGCTGCTTAATATTATACTTCATAAAAAAGCATATTATATGCCCATTGTTTCTATACGTTAGAAACTTTATTAATATATATTATTATTATTACATTATTATAATATATTATACATTTATTTATCACATTTCTAATATAATACATTTCATATAAATATATATATATATATATATATACAAAACATATTATATTATTATTATTATTAATATCTCAAAATAAATTAATAATTGATAGGCAATACATAATAATGTTACTATAATTTTCTATCATAAGCCGGTATAGAATTTGTGCCACTCGACCTGCCAGCAATTTCATCAAACTCAAACACCGACACAAGTGTTTCATTCCCACAACTGACAAATCAAAAAAACTTAACAATTATATTATTTTTTACCGAAGAATTAAAACCTTTATCTGATTATCTGTTATCGAAATATAAAATAAAATTATTTTCGTCCCCTGTGGTAAGCCGATTCGTTTTACGCTGCGACGAGTTTGTATGAAGTGTTATTTTTTAATCTGTCAGATATTTTGTGTTCGATCTATGAACATGAGCGCGGTGTTCAGCCTAATGTTGATAACTTTTTATTAAAAAGATATTACAATTATAATTGTGAAGAAATTTGTTAAGAGTAAGTGACCACATTAAAAACTTTTTCAAAGGGTTTTAAAGATTTCATGAAAAATGTCAAAGATTTGTTAATTAAATAAATGAAAATGAACAATATTTGAAATTGAAAATTTCATCCAGTAGCTCGATTTGAAATTAAATTATAAGGGTGGTGTTCCATGGCGATTGTTTGTGTTGGAAGCGTAACATTGCTTATAAGCCACGGCTCTAATCCGCGAGAGTTCGCCTGCCTACCCTTTAACCAATACGTGACCGCTTGTATTACGGACATGGATGTGAAAAACCTTGGAGGTGTAATTATTGAGCGAATTTGTTTGACAATATTTAATTTATTACTACTATATTATTAGCTAAAGATTACAATAAAGGTTAACTATATCCTTGGACACTTCATGGTAAAAAATAATCGTATGACATATAACAGACTCCTTAAATCGGTCTAGCTATTTATGTGACAGAAAATCACAGTGCAAGGAACACTTTCTATCTCCACTTTCTTGTCAGCCGGACATAAAATGTTTGTCGATACTTAACAGTGACAAATATACCTCCTCCATAACTGACTACATCTACGTCATCGCCCCGGCTTGTCTCGTGTCTCCCGCAATCGGCTCAGAGCTCAGCGTTCCGGAAAATTGTATTTGACGTGCGCTCGGACCGCAGTCGGGCGACTGCGGGGCTCGAGGGGAGGGGAAATTAACGCGGCTTAAGACAAAATCCCCGTGTTATGATACACCGGCGTCGCTCGAGCGATGATCGCTTTAAGTATGCTACTGGATTTATGATGG